TCCACATCCACGTCCACCTCCACCTCCACCTCCACGTCCACCTCCACACCTCCACCTCCACATCCACGTCCACCTCCACACCTCCATGTCCACATTCACGTCCACCTCCACACCAACACCTCCACCTCTACACCTCCACGTCCACCTCCACACCTCCACCTCCACCTCCACACCGACAGCAGCAGCGTCCTTGAACCACCGGGAGCTTGAAGCAGCAGGGGGCAGAGACAAGTCAGACAACAATGCTTCAGCGACGGGACACATTGTGCTGCTTTGTTGTTGGTTGTTTTAAATGCAGAATGACTGAACATTTATTTCTCAGTGAGCATGTGCAGGATGAACACAGGACCGGTGGGGGTTCTGTTTCCTAACCGGCTCAGTGGGATCTGGTCCTCTTGAACGTTGAGAGGCTCAAAGTTAAACTCTTCTAGGATAAGCCATCAGGGTACGATGGATGCGCATGTCCATGTCCAGAGTCATTGCTGATGTGTGATTTGAAAAGCTGACCAACTGTTCATCCTTCTCTTATGAGCGGGTCTTAGGATAAGTGATCTGCACGAGTGATACGGGCTACTGAACCATTTGATAACCATGGTAACAGGCGGGCATTTCTTTGTTCAATCAGACAGTAAAAAGCAGTTAAACCTGTAAATAATGCTAGATTGGGTTATTACATTCATTCCAGGTTTATAACAGAGACTCGTCCTTTAGTCTGGACAAAACGAACCACGCTACAGGTTGGAAAGCGCCCTTGAAACACTTGTGTTGCTGCAGCGGTACGTTTCTGTTTCCATCAACAATCAGTCGGGGAGCTGCAGAGCATCACGACCCACTCTGTCTACGACTGGCTACCAAGGAGCGTCCATGCAGAGTTGGACAGTATGGCGGTACTGGTTCCCCTGTGGTGGTGGAGAGGTTGTGAGTGGACACATAATAGGATGACAAGTGCAGTTATTCAACAACACAACTCAGAAAGGCTATCCTTGGCACAAATGACACTGCCATAGAGTTCAGACATGCGTACACGGTGAAACATTCGCATACGACCCTAAATGCTAACGCGCCCACAGTCCGTCGCAGCGCTGCGCTTCCTGTCTGCAGAAACAGAGCTTCCTATGGGGCTCCGGGTGTGTGTGGAACATCCTGGCAGCCGCTGAGGAAGCGTCAGTCGTCAGCAGCGGAAAGAGAAACAGCGGGAAGAGAGGCACGAAATGCTACGTAAGAGTAGAATCAGAGAGGGAGAGATGGGAAAGAATGATCCACAGACAGAGTGATGGGTGGAGAGGAGGCAAAAACACATCACACCAAATCAAAGTAGCTCAGAATAATTAGGAACACAAGACCTCTTATTATAGCCTTTGTGCTAGCATGAATGTTTTTACAGAAAAAAAAGGAACCTGACAGCCGCCAGCAGCTGTGACTGATGACAGAAAAAGACCTTAAAGAACAGAGACTGGCTGAAGAGCTGCAGGTTTACAGTACAGCTAATACGACAGCAGAAGCTCTTACTACGATAAAATGTGTATATATTAGTTGTTGTGTTGAAAGGCAAGCATTCTGAAAAAAGAGAGATGTACAAGAAGACAGAACAGGACAGCTGTAATTATCACCAGTGCATGCACAGCAGCTGATCATGCAGAGTCAGAAAAAAGGATGGAGGAGTAGAAGCAGGGTGCATGAAAGAGGTGTTTATTAATAAAAACAGAGATGAAACTCAGCATAAACAGAGCAGCAGGAGCAGACTGGCACAAACATCCTGTCATCTGTGGAGTATGAAGCTTTACAGGTTGGTTCAGTCACATGTGGGTTCTCTATAACACTCTATTACATGAGCGCCTGGTTGAGTTAAAACAGAGGTGTGTCATCTCTCAGGTCCCTCAGAAACACCCTCTAAATGTCCACATAAAGAAGCTGCTGAGCTGTGCATCATCCAGGCAGGTCTGTCGATTGGACCACAAACTGCAAAATCAGACGGAGTTGAACAAAAGGTAAAGAAGAAGAAAGCGTGTGTGGGCTGCTGAGCCTCCAGACAGCTAGAAGACCTGGTGTCGCTGGCTGGCAGTGCTCTGACTGCTTCTTACCATCTCTCTGGGCAGGAACATGTCTTCCTGGCGTAGAACCACCAGACTGACGCTCTCGCCCTGCCTCGTGCTGCGTAGCATACACACCAGCTCCTCCTGGCCCACGCCCGTGATATCCACGCCGTTCACCTGCACACACAGAACCCAACACACTGAACCTTCACAGCAGCTGGGTGAGACTGGAGATGGTTCTGGTGATACCCGGCCGCCCCGTACCTCCAGTATGCGGTCTCCAGACTGCAGGCGTCCGTCTTTGACAGCGGCTCCACGTGGCAGAATGTTTTTGACTAGAATCGGACCGGGACCGTGTACTGAAGAATCTCTGGTGACGACAGTAAACCCAAGCCCTTCAGAACCTGGACACACAGACACACGAGTGTGAACAGGACGGTGGATTAGAGCACACATGCAGGAACAGCTCCGGGCCCGTCTCAGCACACTGGTATCCTCTACAGCTGTTTACTACCTGTCTCAATATTTGTCTTCCACTGGGTTGGAGAGAAGGAATCTCACATTCATCCTCCCACACACACACCTGCCCTAAACTCCTCCTGAGATCTTCAACAGCGAGCTGTTGACTCAGCTCCTGACGACTGTAAGTGTAATAACTTAAAGCCTGAGGAGATGGAGAGCGTGTGTCGCTCTAAACCCTTCAGCTGTAGCTTTAGCTGTAGCTTTAGCTGTAGCCGCGGCTGCAGCGTCTGCAGGTGTGCAGGTTTAAACGAGGGTTCAGGTGCAGGGCAGAGAGCAGCGCAACGCAGTGGAAACCGAATGTTCTGGAAACGGAGGCGATGAAGATTAAAACACTAATCAGTGAAAAACACGTGCGCGCGTACACACAAACGTGCACGAAAGCTCTCATTCACACGCATGCGTGCACAGAAAAAGGAAAGGCCACGCAGACAGAGGGGCTGTGGTGTGTTTTATAGAGCTCATTAAGTCTGGTCTCTTTAGCAGAGCCAAGTCAGCAGTTTGGTCCAGTATGAATTCATATCAGCAGAAATGAACAGATCAATAAAGACTTAATAGAGCCTGAAGAGAGGGAATGAGGAAGACGGAGAGAGGAAGGAGGCTCAGCCAGAGAACAGAGAGAGGAAGGCTTTCAGAAATAAGCTCAATTCAAGGCAAGCAGCTGGAGAAGGAACACAGACGGTTAATAATAAAGTGCACATTGAGAAAACCAAAGGCTGGACCTGACAGGACAGAACCAGAGTGAACATACTGACAGAGAAACAAGAGAGCAGGACGGACAAACTTCTGCCTGAACAACCAGAAGTGATAAAGCACGTGTCCAACGGGCCTCCAGAACAGAACACAAACAGACGGCTCAACTAGAAACGGAGTGAATTCAGTACACAAGGAGAGAAGAAGGAACATTAACGGATCAAATGTAAGAGATTCATATTTACCCTCATTAGCAAATCATTACAGAAGCCTGCTGATGTGAGAGCCGCAGGAAGCAGCTCTGCTCTG